CCTCCCCACCTCCGGCTCCAAGGCCAGTGCCCTCCTCCGGCCGGCCTGCTCCGTTATCGACCCGGGGCAGTGCAGCCATTGACCCCCAAAACTGCCCCAGACCAGACCCTCCACGGTGGGCACAGCCTCCCCTAGGGAGCGGACGAGAGAGAAGCCACCCATGACAGATGGGGTCACGTCGCTTAATGCTTGACTGGCAGGCACCCGACACCACGGTGACCAGGGCAGCGTCAGACCATGTGCAGGGTAGGAGGCTGCTCCCCCGTGGCTGGGATCCCCCCAGTTACTGTCCCCGCTCCCCGGCCGGGCATCCCCTCTGCTGGGCTCAGGGCTCTGAGTGGCCCATTGGTGTGAGCCCCCATGGATCTAGCTGGGTGTGGGGCTGGGAGCCGAGGTGCTGGGCTGGGCCTCTCACCTGCTACAATGATCTGCACAGGGTCGCTGGGCTCCGAGTAGGCAACTCGTACTGTTCTGTTGCTATAGCGACAGGTGTAGCTGCCACCGTGTTCCCGTCTGGCGCTGGTGATGGGAAATTCAGCCTCAGAGCCAGCAGGGTCTGTGTAAGTCAGATAGTTCCCATCTCCAGCCTTGTAGAGGAGGATCCTCATGCCCAAGCGCTGATGCCGACACCGGATGGTGACGTTTCCCCCCACGGGGATCACCCCACCGGGGCTGACAGCGATGGAGGGTTTGGGGTAGGACCCCTCTGGATTCACAAACAAACAGGCAGTAAGTGGGGGTGACACATACTGTGTCCGTCTGATTCAATCCTCAGCCCATCTGTCGCTCCAGTGTTTCCCCCGACCCGGGGAGAGACACAGCAGGGGGGATGGAGATTTCCAATCTCTGATTCCTTTAGTCATAGATGCTGACCTCTCCTCTACCCCGTGGTGCTCAACTCCCCCTCTACCACCTCTGGCTCCGCCCCTGCACCACCCTTGCTCTCCCAATTCCACCCCCTTCCCCCAAGGCCCCGCCCCTGACCCGCCTCCTCCTCCCTCATGGAAAGTCCTAAGTGCTGCCGTACAGCTGTTAGGCGGCAGCAGGGAAGCGCTGGGTCGTGGAGGAGCGGAGACGCCACACTCGAGGGAGGAGGAGTGTGGGAAGGGGGTGGGCGCAGGGGGAGCTTGGCTGATGGTGGGCGTGGAGCACCTAATTTTTCTCTGTGGGTGCTCCAGCCCCGCAGCACCCACAGAGTCAGCACCTATGCCTTTAGTTATCCATGGTCAATTCAGCCCAGTCCCGACTGCAGTCAGGAGTGACTCGGATTGACCTCAAGGAGCTGAGGTCAGAACCAGTCCCTGCCCCCATTGCAGTCAGGAGTGACTCCGGATTGACCCCGGAGGGCTGAGACCAGGATCACCCTCTTCTGTTTTTTAAACATTGTAGCCGAGCAGCTGCTCTTCTGTATTTGGGCAAAACATGGATTATGCTTCAAAATGTTCCAAAATCCACGTTTTCGCCAATTGTCTGGCAATGTGCTGTATGCACCAGAGTGCGGGGCGGGGTTCGTGGGACAAATCTGAGTCTTTTGAGCAAGGCCTCCGAAAAACACATTTGCAAATTACCCAGGTTGTTCTAATATTTTCCGGCCCACACCTGGGGCTCAAATTCTGGCTCTGCTGTAGTGCCCCAAACCACTCTCTGCGTGTCCACTTCTTACAGCCCTGCTCTGACTGACCCGTTCCCCAGGCTACTGCCCGGGCACAGTTCGGGGATGCTGTGGGGTGGCTGGTACCTTCACTCTGTATTTCCCAGGGAGTGCAGGCGAATTCACCCTGTGTCTTGCCCATCCCTGTAATGAGTGGGATGAGGTCTCAATCCCCATTTCTGGGTGTGGGAGGGAGCAGGGGTCTGACAGGATCATACCTTGGGGGCTCTTCGCCCCTCACCTCCAACTAGAGTAACCAGACAACAAGTGTGAAAAATCGGGACAGGGGGTGGGTGGTAATAGGAGCCTATATAAGAAAAAGACCCCAAAATCAGGACTGTCCCTATAAAATCGGGACATCTGGTCACCCTACCTCTGACCCATGTCCCTCGTCCTTAATGCAGAAATTCCCCCAGCTGCCCCATTCAGCACAGATACTCACGTCCCAACACCCCTCTCCGCCCAGCCAGCCAGAAACCTGGAAAGGAGTTGGGTCATTAGGGACCAGATCCCAGAGCAACTGGATCCTATACCCTGGTCTCAGATTCCCTCCTTGGGCACACGCCCTGGTCTCAGATCCCCCATGGACACACGCCCTGGTCTCAGACCCCACCCATGGGCACAAACCCTGGTCTCACTCCCCCCTCCCCCCATGGGCACACACCCTGGTCTCAGATTCCCTCTTATGGACACACGCTCTGGCTGTCTCTGATACTCACCGAGGAGGAGGACGGTGAGAGCAGATGCCATGATGGGCCAGCGGGAACCCCTCAGTGCTGTCACCAACACCCCGGTGCTGCGCTCCACCAAGCCTGAGGCCCAAGTGCGAGCTGAATGCGGAACTGCGCCAGGGGCTGCAGCCCCAGGAAGATCGTGATGCGCTCGGCCCCTTTCTTCTCATCAAATGGTTTCTCTGCAATCTCCAGCCCAAATCTACCACAGTCAGAGCAAAGCCAGCTCCCTGTGACACCCAGCAAACCACATTCCCTCATGCAGCTGCCCAGCCCCCCGCCGTCCATCACCTCCCAGACCCACATGTGAGCTGACCAGTCCAGGGACCAGCTGGGAAAGGGAATCTCAGGAGCCATCAAGAGGTGCCCAGGCTCCCCTGACCTTTTCCAACAAGCCAGTCTAGCCTCACTGGAGCAGCAACTCAGAACAGAGGAGAGCACTGCCCCCCACACACACACGTTATCACCCATAGAGCGATCCTCTTCCATGAAGCGGAGCAGAGGTTCCTTCCTGACCCGGCTGGGCCCAGCACCCACCCTAGAGCATGAAGATGGAGGGACCTGCCCAAACTCCTTCTCAGGTAGCGTCACTGCAGATGCTATTCTTAGCGCAGTGGTGTGAGACAGGGACGGGACGGGGGGGTTGTGGTTTCCGGCCCCCGTAATCGGACGGGGAAGGGATAAATTTATGTTCTAAGTTGCTAAAGCAGCAGCCGAAAAATGCGAGAAAAGGGGAAATGTCTCCAGAGCCGATGCTCGCTTGCTCATTCTACTACTGCTAGAGAACCTCAGCGTAAACCTGATTCCCCAGCAGCTAACTGATAATATGATCCGGCTCTGGGACAGGAGTGGGGTCTAGTGGCTAGAGCAGGAGGGCCTCCCACCTCTCCCCTGAGTGATCCTATCTCCCCCAGGTGTGACACACACTTCTGGTGTAGGGACAGAGGGGCTGTGAGGTGCCTGGGGAGCTAGTTTGTGGTTCTGTGTTTATGACAAATCTAGAGATTAACAGGATGCAAAATAAAAGCTGCCTTGATGCGTCCTCTCCCCCTCCTGACGTTGAACCCCCCTGCCCCTCACATGTGGGTCTGAGCGGGGCAGGGGGCAGCAGCTCGATGGGATGGGACTGCAGTGGGGGAAAGGCAGTGTTGCCCTAAATCTTCCTTAGAAGCAGAGTTCTCTAGGCTGGTGGTGCAGGGGCATGAGTCTGTTGCCCCTTGGGGGCCGGTGCCCCATGGCTGTGCGGGGCTCTCACTGCATGGCCCCCCGGCTCACGTTGATTGCGACGTACATGCTGGGGCTGGGTGGGTTCAGGGGCAGGGGCCCCCCCACTTGACCTGCAGTGCCTGGCCATCCAGCTCGGCATAGGTGAGTCTGTCTGCACCGGGGTCGGGCTCCTGGGGCTAGGAGGGGAGAGAGTCACTGGGGTGTGCTTGTGTGTGTGTGTGTGTGTGCGCACATACACCAAACACCGTCGCCCACCCAACACACAGAGCAGGGCCCATTCCCTCCAGTAGAGGGCCTGAGGACACACACACACCCTGCAATCCCACCTGGCAATCCCATAAGCCCACTCCACTCCCAATAGCCCGAGCCCCACCCCAAACCACTGAGTGTGCCAGGAAAGGTTGGACGGGTGGGCTGTGATGGAGCTGCCAGGGCCCATGCAGATCAAGGTTTGGGTCAGGCCCCATGGGGGAACAGGAGACACTTACCAGGGTCTGCGGCTCTTTCCCTTCATCCATGGAGGTGTCTGCAGAACAAAGACACCCCCTGAGCTGCACCCCCGGCCAGCCCAGAGCAGAACCCCACACCCATCTCCAAGTGGAGTCAGAGCAAACAAGATTTGGGGGATACATAGCACCAGGGGGTGCTGGGCTGCCAAGCAGGGAGCTCGGTAGGGGGCGCTCTTCCCTGGTAGTCAGGCCTGGCCCCACTACCCCAGTTCAGTGCTAGGGGGCGCTGTCTGATCCAGCCTGGCTGTAATATCCATCCCCCCTACAGTGCCAGTCAGGCCTGGCCACACCATCTCCAGCCAATGGGCCCATCTGGCCCGGTATCCTGCCTCCCATGCTGGCTGCCCTTGTCTGCTTTGCAGGGAGGCCCAAGCCCAGTCCCCCAGATCCCCCGTGGCCACTGATGGGCCCAGCTGCCCCCAGAGGAAGCCTCTGGCTGCCCCGTTAGCAGCGGGGTCATGTCTGAGCAGGAGGCTTCGCTCCCCTCCCAAATCCATCAATGGGGGGAGTCACTGCCCCCGAGAACAGTCTAAGTGTAAGCGGGGGAATGGTCCCGCTATTGTGGGGAACTTTCCTGGCTTCTGCACTACCCCGGTGAAGTGGGCTAGCGAAAGGATCTGAGTCCTCGCTCCCACTTCCTTTACCCAGAGGCCTCCCTGCCCTCGAGGACTCCCCTTCCACTCTCCTGTCTGGCAGTGTCCTCGTAAACCCCGACAAGGCTGGGCCCAGGATTCCTGGGGGGCTCGACCCCCAACCCTGCTGTGTTCACCTAGGACAGGGGCTAGCGTATCCCCACTCCGGGGTACTCTCTCTGACCCACTGATTATTCCATACAATTTAAAGCAAATACAAGTTGTTTAATTAACAATTAATCTAAAGAAA